TAGCCATTTGGCGGCCGGAAAAATGCTTTAGATTTCCGGGTGGATGCCATATGGCGTACTCCCGGGCATGCGCAGTTTGCGCACTTGCAGATCCACGCAGCGGCACAATCTGTCACCGGCCGTGTACCTCGGACACGGCCGATGACAGATCTGAGTACCGGCCCCCGTTGCCAGTACCATGTGACCTGCTGTGACCAATCACAGCTGGTCACATGACAGTTGTTTACAATGGATGGCTTCATTCATGCCATCCATTGTATACTAGTGTCTAGCTGTGAATGGTCACAGCGATCACATGCACATGTCATGTGATTAGCTGTGGCCAAATCACAGCTAAGCACAGAAAAAAAAAAAAAAAAAAACCCTGAATGAATTGATGTCATTCAGGTAAATGCTTGCTTATAGCAAAGTAATTCTTTGCTATAAGCAAATTGTGTAAAAAACAAATACTGATCACTTCCTCAAAGTAGTACAATGTTACTATGGTAACATTTTACTACTTTGGTCATAGTGAAATATGAAAAAAAGAAAAATCTTAAAAAAAAAGAAAATAAATGTAATAAAAAATTAAAAATAATAAAAAAAAATAAAAAAATTAAATAAGAATATATATATATATTTTTTTTTCATGCTGTCACCAATCAGTGTCCCTAATCACCGCCATGCCAGTTATATGATGATGCTGTACTGCACTGGTGACAATATGTAAAAAACAAATAGTGAAAATAATTTTTTTAAATTTTTCATTTTCTGAAAAATTATGACAAAAAAAATACAACTTAAAAAAACTCGCCATGCCTCTTATGAACTACGTCGGACTGTCTACTCTGCAAAAAGGGGTAATTTGTGGGATATCTGTACTATTCTGACTTTCTTGGACCTCAAGAAATTAGATTGGCTGTCAGTACATCAGGATTGATCAATATTCAGATCTATCCCATAGTTTGTGAACTCTATAACTTTCCTACAAACTAAATAATACATCCTAATTTGGGTTATTTTCACCAAAGACATGTAGCAGAATACATCTCGGCCTAAATTTATGAAGAACATTTATTTATTTGCAAACTTTTATAACAGAAACAAAGAAAAACGTGTTTTTTTCAAAATTTTCGGTATTTTTGTTAATATAGCAAAAAATAAAAACCCCAGCGGTGATTAAATACCACCAAAAGAAAGCTCTAGTTGTGTGAAGAAAATGATAAAATTTTAGTTTGGGTACAATATTGTATGACCGCGCAATTGTCATTCAAAGTGTGAGAGCGCTGAAACCTGAAAAATGGCCTGGGCAGGAAGGGGGTAAAGGTGCTCGGTATGGAAGTGGTTAAAAAACAATTCGTAAATGCATTGAAAACCAATTAATCCGTTCATATTGCAAAAAAAAATCGTAAACTGAGGCATTATTATCAATGGATTTTCATTCGTAAACTGAAAATGTACGTTAACCGAGGCGTTCATAAACCGAGGTACGCCTGTATCTCAGTCTTCAGGTTTATTCAATAAGGCATAGCCAAAAGCTGTAACTCAGCGATCTGGGGTTTCTGAAGAAAAGGAGAATTGGTTGTTATCGATTACTGGTCTGCCTTATTAAACTATAGTTCTTTTTTTTTTAGATTTATTTTTACAAATTCATCTTGGTGACCAAGTGGCTAGCTCTCCAACCATGTGCTCACCTTCCGTGTTCTTCGGTTGGTATGTTCACGTCGAGTTGGTTTGAGTTTTTACCAGTTGCTCCAGTATCCTTCCAAAAACCAAAATCGTATTGATCACTTATTGTTTTTCGCACGAACTGGAGTATGTTTGGCTAGTAGCTATATAAGATCATTTCTTCCTTTTTGGAAGTTCATTCTCAATGGCTTCAATTTTTTTCTATCCGAATAAACAAACTACAAAGTTGAAAGCATGCATGGTGCAAAGAATGCTTTGCCGTGTCTGCATATCCTTTCTTATAAAATATATACTCATTGGTATATTTGTCATTCTCATCTAAACATACAGTGGGGCAAAAAAGTATTTAGTCAGCCACCAATTGTGCAAGTTCTCCCACTTAAAAAGATGAGAGAGGCCTGTAATTGGCATCATAGGTAGACCTCAACTATGAGAGACAAAATGAGAAAAAAAATCCAGAAAATCACATTGGCTGATTTGGAAAGAATTTATTTGCAAATTATGGTGGAAAATATGTATTTGGTCAATATCAAAAGTTCATCTCAATACTTTGTTATATATCCTTTGTTGGCAATGACAGAGGTCAGACGTTTCCTGTAAGTCTTCACAAGGTTGGCACACACTGTTGCTGGTATGTTGGCCCATTCCTCCATGCAGATCTCCTCTAGAGCAGTGATGTTTTGGGGCTGTTGCTGGGCAACACGGACTTTCAACTCCCTCCAAAGGTTTTCTATCAGGTTGAGATCTGGAGACTGGCTAGGCCACTCCAGGACCTTGAAATGCTTCTTACGAAGCCACTCCTTCAGTGCCCGGGCGGTATATTTGGGATCATTGTCATGTTGGAAGACCCAGCCACGTTTCATCTTCAATGCCCTTGCTGATGGAAGGAGGTCCTGGGATTTTTGCTCACTGTTCTTGTGATCATTTTGACCCCACGGGGTGAGATCTTGCATGGAGCCCCAGATCAAGGGAGATTATCAGTGGTCTTGTATGTCTTCCATTTTCTAATTATTGCTCCCACAGTTGATTTGTTCACACCAAGCTGCTTGCCTATTGCAGATTCAGTCTTCCCAGCCTGGTGCAGGTCTACAATTTTGTTTCTGGTGTCCTTCGACAGCTCTTTGGTCTTCACCATAGTGGAGTTTGGAGTGTGACTGTTTGAGGTTGTGGACAGGTGTCTTTTATACTGATAACAAGTTGAAACAGGTGCCATTGATACAAGTAATGAGTGCAGGACAGAGGAGCCTCTTAAAGAAGAAGGTACAGGTCTGTGAGAGCCAGAAATCTTGCTTGTTTGTAGGTGACCAAATACTTATTTTCCACCATAATTTGCAAATAAATTCTTTCCAAATCAGCCAATGTGATTGTCTGGATTTTTTTTCTCATTTTGTCTCTCATAGTTGAGGTCTACCTATGATGCCAATTACAGGCCTCTCTCATCTTTTTAAGTGGGAGAACTTGCACAATTGGTGGCTGACTAAATACTTTTTTGCCCCACTGTACATATGTTGGATAGCCAGCAGCCATATACCATTTTATCCACTGGAGCCCAATGTCACTTCAAGGCTGCAAGAAAACAGGAATACAACCAGTTTGCTGTTTGTGCTTTTAAACTAAGCTAGATCTTTAATTCTGACAATAAAGAGAACTTTAGGGAGGGGTAATGAAAATATCAAAATGTCTTGATGGTCTGGTGTCAGTCTGGAGGAGTGGGGGCTCCTATGTAAGATGCATGTGCATCCAGACCACCCTGGGTAATGTTCAAATGTGATGCTGAGCCTCCATGATTGAAATAACTGAAATCCAGTGAAATGAAAGCGTTAGGCCAGGGATCAGGTTGCTGAGGAAAGGGACAGATGATGCTGAGGCATGCAGCCAGGAAAAGAGGTGGGCTTTATCTTACTTGCTGCAGCTTGTAATGCACATTGTGAGAAGCTAACAGTGTGCAGTGAAATTAGAGTAAGCAATCTCAATATGATAGAGGAGCCTGTACAACTGTGCAAGACTGAAGGGAAGGCTGGAGTTCAAATCTAAAGGTATTTAAAGTCTTTGTACCCATAGTGGAGATTTCTCTTCTCCTCCTTTTCTGTTTGAAATCCATCATCTGGGATCTGGGGAAATTTCACACAAATATTACATCACATGCCATACTAGAATAGACCGCGTTAGGTAGGGTGGTGTAACAACTGTTGGCTTGCACTGCATGTAACATAAATCATATACACTATATTGCCAAAAGTATTGAGCCCCCCCCTCCAAGTCATTGGATTCAGGTGTTCCAATCACCTCCATGGTCACAGGTGTATACAATCAAGCCCCTAGGCATGCAGACTGCTTCTACAAACATTGGTGAAAGAATGGGTCACTCTCAGGAGCTCAGTGACTCCAAGCGTGGTCCCGTGATAGGTGGTCACCTGTGCAATAAGTCCATCCGTGACATTTCCTGGATACTAAATATTCCACGGCCAACTGTTAGTGGGGTTTTAACAAAGTGGAAGCAACTGGGAACAACAGCAACTCAGCCACCAAGTGGTAGGCCACGTAAAATGACAGAGCGGGGTCAGCGCATGGTGAAGCACACAGTGCGCAGAAGTCACCAACTGTCTGCAGAGTCAATAGCTAAAGACCTCCAAACTTCATGTGGCCTTCAGATTAGCCACAACAATGGTGCGTAGAGAGCTTCATGGAATGGGTCTCCATGGCTGAGCAGCTGCATCCAAGCCTTACATCACCAAGTGCAATGCAAAGTGTCGGATGCTGTGGTGTAAAGCACGCTGCCACTGGAATCTAAAGCAGTGGAGATGTGTTCTCTGGAGTGATGAATCACACACTTCTCTGTCTGACAATCTGATGGACGTGTCTGGGTTTGGCGGTTGGCAGAAGGTACTTGCCTGACTGCATTGTGCCACATGTTAAGTTTGGTGGAGGGGGAATTATGGTGTGGGGTTGTTTTTCAGGGGTTGGGCTTGGCCCCCTAGTTCCAGTGAAGGGAACTCTTAAGGTATCAGCATACCAAGACAATTTAGACAATTTCATGTTCCCAGCTTTGTGGGAACAGTTTGGAGATAGCCCCTTCCTGTTCCAACATGACTGTACTCCAGTGCACAAAGCAAGATCCATAAAGACATGGATGAGCGAGTCTGGGGTGGAGGAACTTGACTGACCTCAACCTGATAGAACACCTTTGGGATGAATTAGAGTGGAGACTGCGAGGCAGGCCTCGTCTGACATCAGTGGCTGACCTCACAAATATGCTTCTGGAAGAATGGTCAAACCTTCCCATAGAAAAAATCCTAAACCTTGTGGACGGCCTTCCCAGAAGAGTTGAAGCTGTTATAGCTGCAAAGGGCGGGGCCAACTCAATACTGAAGGCTACTGACGAAGACTTGGATGCCATTAAAGTTCATGTGCATGTAAAGGTAGGCGTCCTAATACTGACCATGGGGTCAGTAGGGGGCCCCATGAGATGCCCCTGGTACCTTTTTCATAGGCTTTTTTGAGTTTGGGCAAGGACACAGGGGCCCCATGATCCCCTATTGCCCGGGGGCCCCATGAGTTGTCAGTACACCCCTGGCCCACACACTTTGGTTTCAGTCACCGACTTGTATATCCTTCAGTGCCATATGAGTCGGCAAGAGGAAATATAGCATGTGGTGAGAGGAGCAAGTATTCCCACACACCCAGAAGGGTATAATGCTGAGAACAGATGGGGAACAGCAAAGCTGCAGCATTCAAAGACACGAGCCACTGGAAAGGTAAGTATAGCTCAGCCTTCCTCAACCAGGGTTTCATGAACCCCTATGGTTCCTCCAGAGGTTGCTTGAGGTACCTTGAACAATTTCCGTCTCTCAATTACCCTCCCACCAACATCAATGATCTTTTTAGCTAACTGCAAGAGGGAGATTTTCCCCACTGATGAAGAATATAAGGAACTTTATTCCCAGTGGCCATCATACTAATGTACAGTGAGCGGTAGATATAGTCATTATTAGCAAGGGTTTCCTGAGACCAGAAAGTTATTTAAATTATTCCTCTGTGGTATAAAGTTTGAGAAAGGCAGATGTTGAAAAGCCAAGATCAGCATATAACTTCAGCTACCTATACATCTAGAAAACTTTCATCTAAAGCTGAGTCTGGGGTGAGTAAAAAGTCTCTAAATACATTTATCATGTGTATTCTTCCTTGATTCTTGGTGTCCTTTGTGTATTTATTCCAGATCTGTGCAATAATCCACTGTGAGACTTTACCTCTGTGCAGGAATTTCCTGTAATAAAGACCGGTCACTGCTGATCTTTCTCCTTGTGCAGAGTGACTGGTCTCGTCTCCGCCCCCTCCTGTAGTTTTCTGCAGGCAGCCTGTAGTGGGTGGTGCTTGTTGGGCCCCTCCCACAGTTCTACTCTCTGCACAGGCTATGTACAGACAGTGATGATGTCACTTCTACCTTTACAAGGTATTATTTTGGTTTGCAGAGACATGTGGTGCACACAAAGTAGATTGATATCCTTGGTGGCTATCAAGGAATATGTTTCAATGGACGGTTTTTGTGGCTGGAGTCACGCTTTAAGTTTTGTGACCTATTTGTGCAGTGATTACATGACTCGTGCCCACTCCTGGTCTAAGTGTCACATTTATTTGAATCTTTTGACAAATGCAACATTATGATCTTTTATCACCTGACTGAATAGTTTTGATTTTTTTTTTCTGTCATCTGCTGAGAAAAACAAATTGGTTAAAACGAAAGCCTAACATGAACAGCCGTGTTATTTGCCGCCAGGCAACATGCACTCGGGGAACCAGTTACTCAGCAATATACCAGAAATATTTCATTGTCACATCCGTAACTATATTATGACATTTTGTTTTTGTACAATGTGTGTTACATAATAGGGTTGATTTACTAAAGGCAACAAAACTGTGCACTTTGCAACTGCAGCTGCTCCAGAGCTTTGGAAATGAGGGGAAGCTCTGCTGACTTCCATCATCCAATCATGTGCAAGCAAAATGCAGTTTTTTTTGTTTTTTTTTTTTCTTGCATGTGATTGGGTATTCTTTGCAAAGTGAAGCTTTACCTCATTTACTAAACTCTGGAGCAACTGCACTTTCAAAGTGCACTGTCCATTTGCCTTTAGTAAATTAACCCCCAATGATGTGCAGTAACTGCAAGGGATGGTGTATCCATGAGATTAAAGTGAAACTCCAGCCTGAACTTTTTTCTTATAAAGTGGGGAAGGGTTAGACCTCCTGTCTTGTTTTTGTTGTCTGCATTAAAAAGATTTAGGCCCCCTGTGCACGGGCCCCCTAGCTACAGTGCATTCCTCTTGGCATTCCAGTGCACCCAAGAGAGACAGGGGTAGTGTCCAGCCCCAATGCAAAGTCTATGGACAGGGCTGAATGCTGTACTGAATGGTATCAGTGATTAAGGCCCTCAAAAGGTAAAAGGTATGTGAGCGCACTACAAGTAGCAGCTATGCACGGTAGGTAACCAAATAAAACCTGTAAATCAGAATAAAACAACAAAGGAATAAATCTAATAAAATGCCGTTATGATAAATAGAATAAAGTTTACAGATATATGGTCATAAAACCTAAATGTTCCCAAAAGTGACAATAGTGCTCTGAAGGTGCCTGCTGGTGCCCGTGCAGATGGGAATAATAAAATTGCACACTCACTAGATGCACAACTTTAATGCGCATATATATATATATAGGTATAGATGTCCTCTCAATGGGATCAAGGTAGAGCAGATGATAGGTGATCCTCCCTCTGAAGGGTAGGTGACACAACGGGCGATTCCAGAGCTTAATGTTGATCCAAGACAGCCAGAGGTCCCCTACAGTGTTTGGTGGATGCAGTATCCTGGGTAGATAGGAGATCCCCTCTCTGGGTACTGGGATGGACCTTAAATGGGCTTCTTTCAGCATACCAGACAGGACTTGTCTGATCCCCAGGCTGAGAGATTAAAGCCCCATGCATTCAAGATTTGGAATCCAGGTCTTCTGCGTTCCAGAAACCTCATCTGTGAGAGCTCCAGATCCTGAATGCTGGAACCACTGGGTTCAGAATTCAGGCGTGTCCAACTGCAGCCTGCCATAGACTTTGCAGTGGGTCTGGACCATGCATCTGCACTGGAATGCCAAGAGCTGCTAGAGGTCACCATTTGCAAGGGGACTAAAAGTATGTAAACCTAAAATTACAAACTTTATCAAATCTCTGCTCCCCATTATTTAAATAAAGTAGCCTTTTATTTTTGCATAATCTACAGTTGCCACTAAATTTCTGGTGATTCTGCCAGCCCTCTCATCAATGCAGGACTTCCTTCAGTTCAGTGATGTATTTAGGCTTCGTGCTGCCCTAGGCAACACAAAAACTGGTTCCCCCCACGGAGAGACCCTGACACCGACCAACACCCCACAGAGAGAGCCTGACATTGACCAACAACACCCCAGCACCCACCCTCACCCAGAGAGCCTTCCACTACCACCGCCCCCCATACACTGTCAATCACCCCCACCCTGGCAAGAGATAAGACACTCACCTTCACAGCTCTGGACATCCCCAGGAACAAGAGTCAGGCTCTGCATACACCATCAAGCAGCCTACAGCCTCTCTCAGATCCCACCTGGTCCCCACGCTGCATGTGTCCCTTCTTCCTTTCCTTCTTTCGGAGGACAGCGCTGCCCCCCTGAAAAACGCTGCTGCCCCCCTGAAAAATGCCGCCCTAGGCAAATGCCTTGTTTGCCTTGTGGTAAATACACCCCTGCTTTAGTTACTGACCATACCAACCATGGAAGCAGATCTGTGTCAGCATAGTCAATTTGCATCCCTACTTTTTTCTTTTTTCCATAGGACTTACAGTACACCACGCCAATGCATGCTTTAGTCCTGTGGCCAGCCTACAGGCTGATAGGCTCCCCGCCCAGCCCTGCAGAACCCAACTGATAGTGGCTGATGACAGGGATCATGGACAATCGTCAGTAGGAGTCTCAGCCCCCAAACCTTATAATTTGGGGAGAAAGAGTCAAGTGACCACCAATAAAAAAAAAAGCCAAGAAGGTATTTAAAACACATTTTGGTCATTTAATTATTATGGAATGTTTAATGAAGGCCTTCTGAATGTGAACATGAATTCATAGACTGAAATCTTTACATGCGCCGGGGCAGGAAGTACGGGGGGACAGAGCACAATAAGGCCTTGTTTGCACTTTTGATAGGTTTGTAAACACCTTTGAAAAGCGATCTGCAGTCGATCTCCTGTAGCGCTACCCCCAGAGGAGCCGCTTGTATTTTTGTCCAGGTCTCCCCTTGTTTCACCCTGCAGTCAGGCACAAAGTATTTTCCGCAGCCAGGTATACACACTCTTTCGCTTGTTGTCTTCAATGAACAGGCTAGGAGATGTTTGTTTTTGGAGGTTTTTTTTCCAAAACTGGGGATAGGGATAGGGAATTTAGTAGGATACTCCAAAATTAGAACTATTTACACTGAGGACATCTAGCTAATCTATTAGTTGAACACTGTTGAAGTCTTGACTGAAAACAGATAGCAGACGTCTCTTGGAATTGTAGTAACAACAAGTAGTTTAGGAGTGAGCAAAGTCCCTTTAGAAGTAGTAGTAGTTGCAGGGCTGAGCTCCTTGGGTACAGACTGAGGCAGTTCCAAAGTAATAGAAGCTGAGCAAAGTCCTTTGCAGTAGCTACAGTTGGAGAAGCTCTTCAGAACACCAGCCAGTGTTGTCTTTTCTCAGACCCACGCTGACTAGGAAGCACCAGAGGGGTAGCCAAGCATCTCCACAAGATCTCTCAGTGTCTGGACTCACAAGTCCAAGGACAGAATGGCCGTCTCCTTCCAAGTGACTCTCTCCAGTGACACCAGACAGATCTTTGGCAGACAGCTCCCCTCAGTCAGCGTACTGAAGAACCAAGGTCACTCTTGCTAACTTCAAACCCTCCCCACATGGAAGAAAAAAATATTTGAAATATATTGGAAAAAATATTCTTCCCAAATATATTTACATATATTTGAAATACTACAATTTTGGCCATATTCAATATATTTCAAAATATATTTCAAAATATATACTGCATGTTGAAATGTGTTTTTTTATATATTACAAAATACATGAAAAATATTCTTAAAAATATATATATTTTAAATATATTCTTCAGATTTTGTTTAACATATAAAAAGATCGTTTTAACATAGATTTATACATGTATTTCTAAATGCATTCCAAAAATGTAGATTAAATGTATTTTTAGAGACATACAATATATTTGAAATGTAAAAATACTTTTCTTATATTTTGTAATAAAAATGCATTTCAACATACATATATATATATATATATATATATATATATATATATAGTATTTAAAATATATGTCAATATATTTGGGAAGAACATTTTTAAGATATATATATTTAAAATATATTTTTCTTCCTTGTGGGTCAGGTCGCCCACCCGAGGCCCACAAGGCTTGGTGCAATCCATCCTCTCTGGGG